TGGGCAGGTATCTGCACAGATCAAAGCCAGTTGCAGCCTAATCCTGGAAACCATGCAGAGCAAACATATTCCTTAGAACCCAGCAGGATCTGAACTGCACCATTAAGCCTCTACCTAGCCCCTAATGGCATTTGGTTCGAGGATCCATCCTCTAAAAAAAAAACCGAACCAAAAGAAACAAAAAGAAGAAGAAGAAAATTTGAAAATAGAAGAAAAGAAATTTAAAAAGGAAAAAAAGAAAAAGAGAAGAAAAAAGAAAAAAATAGATAAAAGAAAAAGAAAGAAAACAAAAACACAAAAAAGAAGCCAATAAAGAGCTTTCCAAATAGAAGTCTGATACAATACAGGTGGCTGCAGTTTATTCTTGCCAATGCTCTGTGTCCTTGAATGGTGGTTCTTTATCCAGGCTGGCTGACAGTTGTATCAAACACACCATTACACAAGGCTATCCCTTCCTCTCCTGCCAGTCTCTCTGGCAGATATGGCCCATTCCAGAGAAGCATGGTCAGAGCTTTGGCTGGTGTGCATGAAAACAAGCAAAGAAAAGGGAGTATCAAAACACTGTACATGCTGTCATGCTCTCTGCTAATGAGTTTGATGGTGGTGTTTGCTTGTGGAGGCAATGCTTGGTTCAGTCCTTAAGCATGTGTTATAGCAGCTCATGAGGAAATACAGCACACTTGCTCTGAATTTTTGTTTCAACTCCCAAGAGTAGTCCCATGGAAAGGGACCAGGGGCCCTGGTCACTGGCAAGTTGAACCTGAGCCAGCAGTGCCCTGGCAGCCAGGAGGGCCAGCCCTGCCCTGGGGTGCATCAGGCTCAGCATCACCAGCCAGGCAAGGGAGGGGATTGTCCTGCTCTGCTCTGCACTGGGGCAGCCTCACCTCCAGTGCTGGGGGCAGTTCTGGGTGCCACAATATAAGGATACAAAGCTCTTAGAGACTGTCCAAAGGAGGGCAATGAAGATGGTGAGGGCCTTGAGAGGAAGCTGTATGAGGAGTGGCTGAGGTCACTTGGTCATTGTTCAGCCTGGAGCAGACTGAGGGGAGACCTCACTGCAGTTACAACTTCCTTGTGAGGAGGAGTGGTAGACACTGATCTCCTTTGTGATCAGTGATAGGACTCAAGGAAATAGCATGAAGTTGTGTCAGGGGAGGTTTAGGTTAGATATTAGGAAGAGATTCTTCATCCAGAGGGCGACTGAGACTGGATTAGGCTCCATGGGGAAATGATTACAGGACTAAGCCTGCCAGAGTTCAAGAAGCATTTGGACAATGCTGTCAGGTACCTGTGACTCTTGGGGCTAACCTGTGTGGGGCCAGGAGTAGGACTCAATGATCCTTGGGGGTCCCTTCCAACTCAGGACATCCTATAATACAATTAAACTCCACTGACCAGTCCCAGCTTACAGTGTGAACAGTGGAACTGTTCACACTGTAAAAACTCAATTTTAAAAACTCTGATTTTTACTTGCAGCTGCCACCAGATGTTTGAAATGTTTGTAAGGTTGAAGGCAATCTTAGTACAAAGCATGTGCCTTCCCAGCGTGGGAAACAGACAAGAGAAGCCTTCTTTCATGCATTTCTGCCTTCCCATTACTGCCTCCTCCACTGTTCAATGATTCCTCCCCCACGTGCTGGATTCAGACAAGCCCTTAAAGTGGCAAGAAATGACACTACTGTGTGGGAGAAGCAGAAGTCCCAGTGGGTGTCATCCATAGGGTACTGGTTCCACAACCTCAGCTGTCTTCCTGACAGCTCTATACAGATGTATAGTGACACAAGAGAAAGGTCTGACATTAGTGAAATTTTATAGATGAAAGTTTGTGGGTGAGATGGACTGCTATTACCCTAACATTCACCTTAGGTTGGCCATTGCTCCTATTGTAGCTCCTCACCTCAAAATGCTCCTTGTAGTAAATGATAGCACACAGGGCCCCACCAACACAAGCAAAGCACTCATGCATATCCCTAAACCACAAAAAAAGGGGATAATGAAGATCTCCTCTTTCCCTACCACTGCCTGGCTTGAGGCCTTGAAGTGGGACCTTCAGTAAAGACAGATAGATAGATAGATAGATAGATAGATAGACAGACAGACAGACAGACAGATAGATAGTGAAGAACAGAGCCAGTCACAGGCTGAGGATATGCTGGTCATCTACCAACAAGTCTCTACAGAGCTCCCAGAAGCTCTCACCAAAGGGAGAATTTCTATTCCATCTTCTTCTACCTTCTTGTCAGTGACACTGAGGATTGTGCCCTTTTCCCTTGAGATTAAATCTTAAGGTTTCCATAAATATCTTTCTTGATCATTCACTCCTTGTCAGGTGGGTGAACTGAGAGAATCCTCCTTCTTTATGTGGGAGCAGAGAAAGATTTTCCACTGCAGTTTCTCATTTGGCATGAAGGCAGCACCTCCAACTCCTTCAGCTTCTTCTCAGTGGTTCAGTTCAAGGGCTCCCAACTATTCCCACACTGCAGACCTCCTGCAGACATGCCTTGGCAGCCCCTCATGGTCCAGGCAGCATCAAATTCCCTGTCTAATCTTCTGTGTCCTTCTCTTGGCACAAGTCTTGCCCTACAGGCTACAGTGTGGTGCCATCTTTGTCACGTATTCAGTGCACAAAACTTGACAGGTTAGGCTTTTTCAGTAGGAACCAAGACCTAGCCTTTCTGCCTACACAGCCAAAATGCACCAAGATCACCTTTGTACCCCTGTGTCAACAAGAGCCCCTTTGCTGACTTCCCAACATTGACAGAAGTTCTGATGTACTGGCACACTTCTAAAGAGGCAGGACAACTTTGGAGGTGACAGACAGCCCTTTGCACCCATTCCCTAATGGGAACTGGAAACCCAGTAGCTTTTGCCAATAGGTTACACCTTCTCCCAAGAAGCAGGTCTAGGAAGCCAAGGGCAACATGGTGTATGGGCTGGAATCTCTCTGGCTCCTAGCAGTTTCTCTGATCTAAAGACCACACTGCAGCAATACCAGCCTGCCTTCAAAACAGACAGCTGCAAAGAAACTTTTGCTCTTGCTTAGGTCCTGCGTGGAGCAGATCCAGCCTCAGGGCAGAATGCCTGTGTATGTCCAGTGCAGTGAGTCCCAAGGAGAAAGGGGTCCACCTAGTGCAGTCAGAGCAGTACTGCCAGAACCGCGGGCAGAACACCGCACTCATGCCAGCTGCACAGCAACGCTGCAGCTGACACTGGTGGGCACCGAAGCCTGGTGCTCTGCACAGTCCCTGGAGTGAGAAGCACACCCTCTGCAAGGGGCAGCATCCACGTGGACAACACCTGCTCCATCTACTGCATCAGCACAGAGCAAGTGTAGGCAAGTGGAACCTGCTAGGCTGAACAGACACGGCACATTTACATTCAGCAAGAACAGCAATCCAAGATGAAGCCTGCCTGTTTACAGGGGCTGAAGGCTGGCTTTTGGCCAGGGAAGAAAAGCCTTGGTAGCTGCTGGCTTGCTACCTCTCCAGCACTACTGCTGCACTTTTATTTCCCATAAAAGATCTCAAGAGACTTGACCTAGGTCAGTCTGTGTGAAATGGATCAAGAATGGATCTTCCTGGTTCAGAAAGCAACTCCTCTGCCCTACTTATAGCTATCCCAGATGAAAGAAATTGAGTTTATCTAATGTATTCTTCCTACGCAAGCTTTAAGGTCTTACACTTTTCAAAGGCAGTTCTGGCTGATACCACCTTCAGGATCTGGGAGCGTAAAGATAGGGTTAAAATACCTTGGAAGGGGTTTAGACAAATCTTTTAACCACATTCTTTTAGTCCCTTTTACAAAATGTGACAGCTGTCTCTAACAGCAACATAACTAGGCAGATGTTGTTGGCTACAGGAAATGGAAAGGGCTAAACTGAAAGAGCCACTGCTCCACATCCTATCCATGTGCATCCCCATGTGACAAAGTCAGAGCAGATCATATGTGAGCTCCTGTAACATCTGCAGATGAAACTGAAACTAGCTGGCTATCAGCTCTGAGCACTTGAAATAAATAGGCAAAACAGTGCTGAACATAGGCACTACTAAATAGCTTAAAAAGGCTTTTAGGAACCTTAACAAAAAATGCCTGTGGCATGGTCTAGAAAAGCTCATCGTTTCCCACAGGCGGTTCCTTTGAGACCAAAGTCATGCAGGGCTCCCACACTCACGTGAAAGACTCAAGTCTTAAACAATTTGGTTATGATCAGATAAAACACAAAAGAGGGAACAAAAAAAGCTTCCCCATCTCTCCTTTCATCCAGAAGCAGGTGAATCACTGACTTAAAAGACATCTAGTGGCAGATAAACTATAGAAAATGACTAATCAAAAGGATGTTATTCTGGAAACTTCCAGACTTCCCATTCCATGGAGTCTTAGAAAGGAGTGGAGTTCCAGTCTTTCATTAAACCATGAATGTTAGACAGAGACTAAATGATAAACCAAGTTATGGAAAAGCTTCCCAGACAACTGTAAGTCAAAAGGACTTGTGAAGCCTTAGGCAGTATTCCTACTCTCCTCTATCACCTTAACCTCCCTTCCTGCTGGCAAGAGCAGGCAGCAACCACACTGTGAAACCTGAGAGCCTGTATGACCTAAAATTCCAAGTCAGGCTTAAACAGCACTGAAGCATAGAGAGTTGTGTACTTTATATATATATATATATACATAAAGATTTTTCTTCCTTTTATATATAAAAGACACAAGATATTAATTCTTCCAACCTCAATTTTTTTGGTTTCACTTACTCTGAACAAGTAAAAACCATCATCCCAGGAACTTACAGCAAAGCCACCACAGGTTCCTGGGACCACGAGAATCCTGTTCAGCAAGAAAAAAGAAAAGCATCTGGAAAAGCCCACTGTAAGCTGGGCAGTGGAGAGTCAGCAGTACAAGTGAGAAAGACTCCAAGTCCCATTTGCTTGGAAGAAAAGGAATAAGCAACCCTAGCCTGAAAGAACCCAGATTCTACCCGCATATAAATGCACAAGCAATACCAATCAACCTCACAGACTTTTTTTAGTAAGACCTTTCAATAAACACACACACAGATATATATACAGCCTTCTCTTGCAGAGACAGTTAAGTAGTTCCACAATCAGGACAGGGCAGGCCAGTCAGCACCACCTGGCCAGTGGTTCACAAGGTGCTGAAGATGCTCCTGTGTGCGTGCTCATGGTTACTTCATCGTTTCTGAAGGGAAGGCCAGTAAGTCTTGGAGACAGGCTCAGTGCAAACACACACACAGCTGCAGTATTCTGTAACAGCTGTGTCACAGGGTAAGGGAGAGGGAGCAGCAGAGAAAAGAACAAACATAAACCCTCTGCCAAAAGTGTCTGCAAACAGTGTCTATCCATGGTAAGTCCAGTCAGATTTTGATAGAGAAGGAAGTTCCACATGAGCAACCCTTCTCTGCTTGGGGGTTGCTCACCACCTGGAAGGAGCTTCGGATCAGCTCTTGGCTGAAATCCACCATGGATCCTTTCACAAAGGCCAGGCTGTCCACATCCACAACCACACGGGCACCACCTTGTTCAAACACCCTGCAAAAAAAAGCAGCATATTTAACCACTAACTGTGCCAAAGACCTTACAGAAAAGCACAACCTCAGCATGCTCCTTATCTCACAGGCATCTTCCCTTCAATGCAAGACATTAATATCTCACACATGCCCCTCCTGCCGTTTTTGCCAAGAGCAGAAACATCTGACCACCAAAATGTCCCTTTGTCCTTGCCTGTCATCGGGATTGATAACTGTGTCCAAGGAAAATTTGTACTGGAAGCCAGAGCAGCCACCTCCTTCAACCTGCAGCCTGAGAAACTCTGATCCTCCTGCAATCTCCAGCAGCCTCTGCAAATAAATAAAAGGAAGAGGATTAAAAGTCCTGCTGAACAAACCAGTGAACACTCAAACGTCTCCTCCGTGCGACGGCAGGGCAGGCAGGGTGGAAACCTTTCCAGAGACACCAGACCGCTCCCCGAGTCCCCACCTTCACGCAGCTCTCGCTGAGGAAGATCTGTCCTTCGCTGGGGCCGCTCTCCGTCGGGCCCGGCTGGGAGAAGGACGACGCCCAGCGCAGCAGGGAGCCAGCGGGGCGGGCAGGGCCTCCCGGGGGCCTCGGCAGCGCTCGGCCTGGGCACGGTGGAGCGGAGCAGCGGCTGCCTCGGGAAGAAGGGAGAGGGGGCGCCTCAGAGGGGTCCGCGCCGCCGGAGCGGGCGGCGGGCCCGGCCCCTGCAGCCACCACCCCTTGCGGCGCAGCGGGGACGTTCTGTGCTCCCGAGGGAGGGTGCAAGGGGCCGAGTGTCCAAGGGAACTGTACCTCGTCCGGCCGCCCAGCGCCAACATCCACCACCGCCGCAGCGCCGCCGGCGCCGCCATGCCGGACCAGCCCCGCCCCGCCGCCATGGCGGAAGTGCGGCTGCAGCGGGCGGGAGCGGCCGCGCCCACGGCGGGGCGGCACCGGGGCGGCCGTGGCGGTGGCGGTGCCCATGCCCGTGCCCATGCCCCTGCCCCTGCCCCTGCCCCTTCGCGGGCAGTGCTTGGTGTCGGCTTCGGGGAGCGCGTCACAGGCGCTCAAAGGCACGAAGCTGCTGTTCGCCTTTGGGGGTGTTTGCAGCCGTGAAGCAGTGAAGAGTAATGAAATAAGCACCGAGCGCTGCCCGTTCGCGCATGCTTGTCCCGGGATTAGCCGTAAGGTTATCCTGAGCAGAACCCAGAGAAGGATCAAGGTGCCATCGCAGGGGAGTTGGGTAGGCTGAAGAGCAACACGGGGGTTTTAGGGTTTCTCCCTTATTCCGGCTTTTCTGCTTTGCTCTATTTATCAGCTGGAGGCCAGTCGTCCCCAGTTGGAGCGCTTGCCCGGCGCTCTCACACCCACACCGTCCCTCGCCTCCCACCGCAGCGAGGGCGGGGGGACGCCCCGGCCCCCGAGGGCCCCCCGACTCCGGGCAGGCCCCTACGGCCACCCGAGGCTCGTTGCCTTCCCACGGTGGTTTCAGCTCCTCCTGCTCGTTTGCCGTGTGACAGTGACCTAGCCGGTCGATCACAGAGCGCTCATGGTTAAAAGAGTGTTTTCTCTCTTTGTTCCTCATGTGCTTCTGGGGGAGGAATCCTGTTCCTCAGCCCTAGCCAGGCCTGTGGAGAGTCATACGCTGACTGTGTGAAAGACTGGTGGAAGAAAACCTGTCATCCCAGCAGGAGGGGGTGATTTACCGTCAGAGGACTTCAGGACCTTGTCACAGTTAGCTTTCTCACCATCCTGCTCCAAGCAAAGTGATTCTTCTGTAACCACGGGCTTTTGCTTTTTGTTCCACCCTGAGCATGTAAATAAAGACTGGTTTGAGCTGTTTAATTTTGCCTACTCTTGGGTTAGCTCTAATCATGCTAGATAAAGCCAGGAAAGTATCACGGGCAAGCTCCCAGCAGGACTGGTACTAATGCAGGCACCTGCAATAGTTGATGAATCCTCACACTGAATGTTTAAATAAAAACATATTGGGGTGTTTCTCGATTATTATCAGTGTGGCATCCCAAATGCTGACAACTTTGGAGGAGGGAAGGAAAACCTCCTCGGAGCAAAGACACAGAGAGATCATGCCTGATTTCTGTCCATACTGCATTAGCTTTCTTTCTCACTCCTGTAGGGTGTATTAGATTGATCTTGCTGCATTTCTCCATGTTGTGGCTGTATTCACTGCGAACACCTTTTGGAGAATGGATGTAGCCCCAAAAAACAGACACTTATTTGGAGTTGCCTTCATTTTTGCTGTGTTAAAGTGACAGAAAGGTGTTAAGTGACAAGTGTGGCAAGCAGCTTCAAGGGTCTTTGGGACATTGCTAAAATGATTACTGCAGACTGAAAGAATGAGGAAAAGGCCAACTAACATCACTCACAGTTAATATAATTAATAATCTGCTGTGCTGAGGAGAGACTCATGGTCTGGGGACAACTTTTTTGTGTGACAAAAGGAGGTGGGGGTTATAAACTAAGAGAACAGCTATTCCCTTGCATCTCATCAGTGGCCATTTTTTCCTTCAGTCAGCTATGTGGTACAGGGATGGTTAGTTGCTTTTTTTTAATGGAGTTACAATCTAGTTTTTCTTCCTTCTTGGATTCTCATAATTTTTTGGTCATCTTGTTTCTGATAGGTAGACATAATTTGTCTTGAAGTTTGTGTTTTGATTTTCTGTTCTTATTCTGGTTTGTGGTGTCTTGGTTTGGGGAGTTCCTTTAGCTCTCTTTAAGCACACTGTATTGAAGAGATTTATCTGAGAGTTGAATTTTCTAGCTTTTTTGCTCATTTCTCCTCTGCAATATCATGGTAAAATCATCTTTTCTCTATTTTGAAGGGAAATGAAACTTGTTTCAGTGCTTCAGAAACTGGTGATAATAAAACCTCTGGCGTGGTGTTGAATGCAAGAGTGGATGTGATGAATTTAAATGTGAGTTCTGACGATCTAGCAAAGGAACATGTTCTGGCTGAAAGAACAGTTTAATTGATTAGTCTCTGTATGTGGATTTTCTTGAGAACCTGCCTGCTTATTTCACTGCCACTGTAGTGCCTGCAAGCACATTTGTTTACTGAGCTGCGAGTGCTATGCTGTTGGAGGGATGTGGATTAATCAGGTGTAGATGGCTGATGAAGTGGAACTTCAGGCTTTATCCTTGTGTAATAGAGTTGGTTGAGCTACAAAAATTAACGAGTCCAGTATCAGTCTTGCTGGAGAGAATTTGTCTGCTAGCTTTCTTAGCCTTTTCCACTGGTATTTCTGCAGTGCAGCATAAGCTCCCTGTGATGCTGGTAATCTGAAAGGACCTCCATCCGCAAAATAATGAGATCAGCCTGAAGTTGATTTGAATCTTTCTTAAGCAATTTTTGGCTCCAAGGGAACCTGGAGGCTTATGCCTATTATCAGATGTCACAGGGGGCATGTGCCTAAAAGCAAGGTCTGTTTGGCCCAAGATGCTTATGCTGTCCTGGGGAATTTAAGCTTTAGTAATGTTATTGCAAAACTGACACCATAGTAATGTATGATATGAGCTAAAAACCTTGGGCAGAAGGTTTCTGCTTCTTTCCTCTGTAAAGGCCTTGGCTGTAGATTTACAGACATACACTCATTAGGCTTTTTACTACTCCGTTTTGGGGTGCAGGGAGGGAAACGTTTTCTGTGAAAATGTTAATTTGGATCCTAGATGCGATGATTTTTAGTTCAAAGCCTTTGAAATATGTGTTGACTTGTATGTACATAGTCACTGCCATTGTGTAAAAGCATCTGTGAAGCAAAGATACCTGGTGAATTGTTTCACAGGAGGCATCCTGATTTAATGGCCTGTGGAATTTGCTCCCAAGCAAATTCCAAGCACTGCTTATCCTGTGAATGTGTGACGGCACTTTATGGTGTTGCTCTGGCTTGACAGCAGTTCTGTTACCAGCAGTCAGATAGGCAACTTTGTTTACCATCTGTAAGACTTGAAGGATGTGGATAAGGGAAGCCTTTTGAAGGGCATGCTTTCCATGTGCAAGGAAAAGCCTTTATCTGGGTCAGTTATAAAGTGTGCTAGGTAGTGCTAAATACATGGCTTAGTCTCAGCAGGGTTTTTTTTGAGGGTGTTTTTTGGTTTTGTTTTTTTTTGGGGGGGGTTGTTTGTTTGGTTTGTTTTTTTGTTGGTTTTTTTTTTTTTTTTTTTTTTTAATAGAGCTTTGGTAAGTATCCTGCATGCGTCTTGAAACTGAATGCTTAGTTGAAATCTAAAAAAAAAACCATTAAAAAGCCCCACACCCCTTTCTGATGTGACACCCTTTGCAGAGGGCCTGAGCAAAGCGTGAGGTGCCACCTCTGAGTCACTGGGCTGTGCAGCTGCAGCTGAGCAGGCAGACACCTCACTGGGACAGAGGTCTGAAGCGGGGACGCTGTGTCAGCTCTGCCACGTTCCTACCAAATCAGTACTCACGTGCCTCTCTGCTGTATTCTGACATGATTCCAGAAAGGCTTAAATTTGCTACCATGTGAAATTGGTGGAAAGTTGTAAACTTCAGCTTGGGTCAAATGCTTTCTGAAGCGTCATCTGGTTTGCCTTGGCATCCACGGCACAAAGCAGGGAGTCTCTAGCAATTCACGAGTTTGAGAACCAGAACTGGCGTGTGTGTGCTCTATGAGAGGTGGCAGACACGCCAGGTACTCAGCAGATGTAACTCTTGGCACTTGTGCTACACAAACAGCTTTCAACCTGCAGAACAAGAGGTATGGGATATGTACGATCAAGGCCACGGACGAGTCTACCACAGCAGCTTTGTGGGCGTTATGTTTTATCCCCTTTCAGCAGGGGCAGCAAAAGACCTTCCCGGTCCATGGCACTGCCTGTATCTGAGCCTGTCCTCTGGCTGCTGCCTTTGACACTGACTGTCCCAGGACAGCCCGGGAGTGGGCATGGCCAGTGGCAGCGCTTTTGGAGACGGTGTCAGTCCGTCTGTCCGAGGGCTGTAGCTCCAGCACACCACCACCACCATCACTCCTCCCGGGCTGTCCCGTAGTCCCCTGTCACGACAGGAGCTGTCGTGAGGGGCCCCCACCGCCCTTTTCCCGGCTGCAGCCTTGCCCTCGGCCACGGGGGCGGTTCTTTCCCCCGGCCCCCCCCCCCCGGGAGCGCTCGGTGACTCCGGCCCGTCCCCGCGGGCGGGGCCCGCCCCAGCTGACCGGCGGGCGGGGCCGCCGCGCTCATGTGACCCCGCGGAGCCGCCGCTGCTGCTGCCGCTGCCGTGCCCGCTGCCGCCGCCATGGTGCCCTCCCCGCTCGCCCTGCTCCTGGCGCTGGGCGCCGCCGCCACCGCCCTGGCCGAGCCCCTCCGCTTCGTTGACTGCGGTGAGTGGCTCCGGCCCGCGGGGCAGCGGGAGGAGAGCAGCAGGCGGAGGCGGCCCGGTAATCCCGATTCTTCCTTGCAGGTTCCGTAGACGGCAGCATCCGGGAGGTGAACGTGAGCCCCTGCCCCACTCAGCCCTGCCTGCTCCACAAGGGGACATCTTACAGCATCAACGTCACCTTCGCCAGCAGTAAGGAGCACATCCCCAGCGGGAGTGGGCAGGGGATCCCCTCTGCTGGGAGGGGAGAAGGGCGGCTGGAGAAGGATCTGGGTGGAGGGAGAGTGTCCCTTAGTTGTGTTCTTGCAGCCTCTGGGGTGTGTGAAGGGCACGTGTGGTATATGTGTGTTCTCCGTGTTTTGCAGAGATCGAGAGCCAGGGCAGTAAAGCAAGGGTGTATGGGGAGATGCTGCATGTGGACATACCCTTCCCTATTCCTGAGCCTGATGGATGCAAGTCTGGGATCCAGTGCCCCATTCAGAAGGGCCATTCGTACAGCTACCTGAATAAACTGCCTGTGAAGAGCGAGTACCCCAGTGTAAGTATGCA